CCATTAAAAATTTTGAAGAAAAACAAATTTTAATATTTTTATTTGAAAGTCCCCTCTACCTACGAGTATGAAAACTAAATGCAAGTATTTTATAGTAGATGTGAATTAATTCATCCACACTCTTTCTAATGACACTAATTTCATTAAAATCGGTTGATCCAAACCAAAGTTATAGGTATTTATCCACAAATACTTTCCTCTCTCCCCCACCCTTTATTTGAAAATAATAAAAAAAAAGTACTTAAACAACTTTGTGCAGAATTTATTCCCCTTTCTAGTTTACTTATTTAGCACTTGGTATAATTGAACATATTTCCCAAAAACTGGTTTTCAAATTTTCTTCGCAGGTTACGCCCCCTAGCGGTTAATCCATAATCTTGAAAGTTATTTCCAGCGATTTCTCTTTGCCACTTTTACTAAGGAATTTTTTCTCCTAAAGTTATAACATGAATAGTTTCTGATATATAGCCGAGAGATCGGCTTATTGGACCACCCGGTACATACAATAGTATGGAGGAGTATGTGATCTTTAAAATTGGGAAAAAAAGTTCCATTTCGAAAATTTTGTAAGCAATTATCTTTAGTCTTTCAATTTCTTTTTGTTACAGGTAATGGACACAAGAAAATTTTTTAAAAGACAAACGTCTTTACCCTCTTTACCGTCTATACCACTAAATATACTGGAAGAGGATGGGAAGAGTCAGCGTAAACAGCAGCCCGGTACGAGCAAGGATCTGGATCAGAATATTCAACCAGAATCAACCACGCACCATGTGAAAATAGACGCTTCTGACTTAAGCCAACTAGGAGATAAAGCATCGTAACCAATTCTTTACAGTTTCTTTTTCAATCATGAATGATGAAGCTCATTCTTTCAAAAACGAACAATCGTGTTCGCTATGGATCGAAGGATCTAGAAATTCATGAAAGGTTCCTTGCATTTCTTGACAGTTCAGATGATCTTAATCTAAGAGACTTGCAGATGGTAGGGAAATCCTATGACGGATCTGCGGTCAAATATCAGGCAATACAAGTGGTGTTCAAACACAAATGCGAGAGAAATTTCCGGCTGCAATTTATACGCACTGCTTAGCTCATAGACTTAACTTGGCTCTGGTAGACTCGTGTCAAAATGTTCCCTCAATATCGACATTTTGTTGTACTTTGGAGGTATTTTGGAGGTACTTTACTAACATTTTTGAGATCCTCAAAACCATAAAAAATACAAACAAATATTGAAGTACCTCAATATTGTCCGCGGAGAGTTGAAATCTCTGTCAGATGCTCGTTGGGTATCAACCAAAGAAAACAAAATCCGTATCCTGCAATGTTTTCCGAACCAAGTTATTTCTAAAAATCATACATCAAAGGATATATAAACTATGCGAAGAAAAAATGAGCCGTACTCAGTGTTGTTTTCGGAACGCAGTGGAGATTCTCTTTAGCAAACAAGTGCTATTTCAACGATGTAGAGATGCGAGTTGCGATATTTATGCATGCTTCATTGATTAGCAAAAAGCGTTCGATACAGTAAAGGACGACAAGCTGATAGATATATTAACAAATATTGAAATCCATAATTATTAGCAAACTTTACTGGAATCCAACATCGTCTATCCGTACAGAGGCAGGAGAATCCGATGATATTAAAATCAAACGTCGGGTTTGACAGGGATGTATATTATCACCCTTGCTGTTTAACATATACTCTAAGCCTTTCAAGAAGCAGTAGAGGATGTTGAAGCTGGAATTCGAATTAGGAGCCGGAGAATGTATTAATAACATCAGATACACGGATGACACAGTAGTATTCGCTGACAGTTATGAAACCGTTCAGGAGTTAGTGAATAGAATCAGAGAAGTGAGTCAGATACATGGACTCTTACTGAACATTAGAACAAAATGTATTAAAAAGAACCAAAGAGACGTTCTTTTAGAAGAGGTGATATACTTTTTAGGACACTGATGATGGGATATGGATTCCGAAAACAGTTTGTGATATAGCCCGACAGGGTTTTTAAATTATATACCTTTTATAAAGGATTTTTAGTAAAAATTTTTTAACATCTAAGAATTTTTATGTATATATTGATACTTAAAGATAAGCTGCAGAGAATCTTTCGAAGGCTGTTGAAAGAGTTTCTGGCTTTTTTAATACGAGTTTTTATTTCGTAGCTGTAATCTCAAGTATCTTTAATATTGCAGCCCAAATAGCACATTTTTTTCCACTATTTCTAACGGTGTATCGTTAATTGTAATTGGGTGTTTATGCCGGTGTTCTTACTAATGATCACAAATGATTACATCAAAAAAATAAAAACCAGAATTGAAAAAGCTATAGCAAATTTCAACAAAATCAGAAGAGTGCTATGTACAAGGGCTTTAAAATTGGAACTAATAGTTAGGTTGGCGGACTAGCAATCTAGGACCTTGAATGCGACATCAATGAAAAAACTGGAATTATTCGAGCTGTGGGCGTAAAGAAGAATTCTGAAAATATCGTGGACAGAACAATTCACATACAAAGAGGTTCTGAGAAGGATGAATAAAGAAATAGAAGTTTTAAATACAATTAAAACAAGAAAATTGTAATATCTCGGACATATTACACCTGGAGAGAAATACACCTGGCTCCAACTGGTTATACAGGAAAAGATTCAAGTAAAAAGAAGCATAGGGAGGAGTAGAATGTCATGGCTGTGCAACCTAAGAGAGTGGTATGGATGTACATCACATGAACTTTTCAGAGCAGCGGTCTCAAAAGTCCGAATAGCTATGATGATTGCAGACCTCTACCAAGGAAATAGCACTTGAAGGAGAAGAAGATAAAAATTAAGTTACTACGATGTTAAATCTTTCCTATAACGTTGTACGGAGTTGAGTTGTGGACTCTCACAGACGCTAGCTGTAAGAAAATTGAGGCTTTCGAAATGTGGCTTTATCGTAGAATCCTGAAGATATCTTATACCTTCAGGATTCCCACCTATAACAAGGTAGATAATGACATAAGCAAACAGAGGAAATTAAATAATGGACTACCCCAAGGATCAGTCCTTGCTCCGATACTTTTCAACCTATATATATATCGGACCTACCTGACACGGATGGAAGAAAGTTTGGCTACGCTGACGACCTAGCAATAGCAGTACAACACAAACAGTTTGAAATTACTCAAAACGTGCTGACATGCGACCTCAACAAACTATATGAATATTTCACAAAATGGCGCCTGATACCCAACTTAAATAAAACTGAGCTAAGCTGTTTTCACCTCAATAATAAACAGGCAAACCAAAAATTAGAGGTCAAAGAGAATGAGAAATGTAGCACTCCCTACCAACCCTACTCAAAATATCTGGGGATTTCCTTGGACAGAACTCTCTCGTTTAAAAAACATCTACAAATAACTGCACAAAAAATAAGTAGTAGAAATAACCTTATCCAGAATCTTTGTGGTACTAACTGGGGCGCATCTGCGGACACACTACGAACATCTGGGCTAAGTTTTGATTTATTCTGTGGGAGAGTACTGTGCACCGGTTTGACTAAATAGTCGTCATGTAAAAATAGTTGATACGCAGCTTAATATAGCAATGAGAATGATTAGCGGATGCATAAAGACTACTCCACTATACTGGGTTCCGATCCTTAGCCATATTCCTCTGCCTATTCTACGAAGACAAAAGGCCTTGATACCAAAGTATTCGAAAGTAAATAGCAACTACCAATCCATGAAGACATCCCGAATTTAGCAGCAAACCGACTCCCATCCAGAAAACTACCCATAAGAACAGCCCAACAGCTAACAGCAGAAGATTTCAATGTTACCTCCAAATGGCACACACTGTGGACTGAGGAAGCCCCACCTGAAGTATCCAACTTTATTGACCCAGTCCAAAAGCCTGATGGTTTCGACCAGCCACGAAACATATGGAAGACCCTAAACCGAATTAGAACGGGACGTGCACTATGCGCACATAAACTACATAAATGGGGAAAACAGCCTACCTCCAGCTTGGACTGTGGAGCTCCAGATCAAAGCATCCAACACATAGTGGAGACATGTGAATTGAGGCATATCGAGGGGACCCAAAAGACTTTTTCAAAACTACGCCTGCAAGCCTTGAATGGATAGCTCAACTTGACTTAAAGAATAACTTTATCTGTTTGTATTATCTTATATTTTATCTGTATTTTGGCTATGTTTATTTTTATAATCTTATCTTTGTATATTTGAATTATGTACTTACGTTTTTTACAATTATTACTGTATTTACTCCATGTTTTGAGCCATACGTTCAATAAAATAAATAAATAAATAAATAACTAGGACGTTTTATTTATTTATTGAAATCAAAATTGAATACCTCGGTCACAATCACAACATGAGGAACAGTGAAAGATAAGGGTTGCTGCAGTTGATTCTTCAAGAAAAAGTAGAAGGAAAACGTGGACCAGGGAGGCGAAGAATTTCCTGGCTGAAAAATCTCCGTACGAGGTTCAATAGAACAACCACAAAATCTTTTCAGAGCTGCAGACGCAGTGTGCAAAATACAGATTGTCATGATGGTCGCCAACATCCGAAACGAATAAACACTACAAGAAGAAGAAAGGCAATTCAAATGGACTTTTCAATTAAAACAATATTTATATTCATCTTCCAATATTTAAAGATAACATGTTATATCGATTGTATATCATACAAACTAGCGTTATTACAGCAATTTTCTTATCACATTCGTTTTTTTCGACCCACAATTAGTAAAAATTGGTTCATGAAGTGTTGAAAATATAAAACAATGTTTTGTAGAGCAGTCAGTAAGCATATTAGCCTTTGGGTCTTCAGCAATAATTACCTATTCAACATTTGACTTTTACTTTATGAACTCACCATATTTAACCAATCTACTTAAACGTAAACCTCTTTTTATTAAAAAAAAAACTATCTTCACGTTCGATCAGATATTATAAACGTAAAATCTTCCTTAAAAATTATTATATCACGTCAGTTCATACTGTTTTCTATGTAACATGTTCGCGTCGCTTTGCTGCCCACTTTTCACTACTATTGGAATCGTAACACTACTCTGATAATTCTTCGGTGGTCCTCTGTATACGACTGGATGCTGCTGGTTCTGAGCCAGCACTTGCTCCCGTGCTTCCTTATACTGCTGGTACTGTTGGCTGTACATGTGCTGTTGGAGGAGTTCGCCGTTGGTGTAGGAGGGTTTGTACTAAAACAAGTAGGCAATATAAATAAGTTATATTATATAGTAATTATTATATAGTTATCATAAATCACTTGTACGAACAACTAGAGGAACATGCTGAGCGCAAGAATCTAGAGAACTGTTCTCAAAAATCAAGTATCTAGCAAGATAATTCAAACCGCAGACACAGATCATCAAACATAAAAGTGGAAATACCAGAACAAACCCTGACGGTAACGCAGAGGTGTGGAAACAATATTGCGAAATACAATTCTTTAACAACGACCCAGATAATAATACAGAAAAAAGAAGTTATGAAAAAGAAATTGAGGCGGTAATTTAAAAGCTAAAATTCAGACAGCTTTCAGAAGGAATAACAGCTGAACACTTAAAGAAATGGGAGAACTAGGGACGGAAGTAATACTTAGAATTTGCTGGCTGGGGTTAACCTACGTTTATTCCCGTATAATAAAGAGGTTCATCGACAGATTTACAGTAATTACCGTACAGCAGCATTGATATCACACGCGACCAAAGTACTTCTAACCATCATCAATGAAAGACTAAAATCAATTCTCTTACCACAAATTCCCCAAGAACAATGCAAAAGGCAGTGCATCTTCCGATCAAAAGCTTGGTCTTACACACTAGCCAATGCTAGACCATGTTGGTTAAGTGCCTCTTGAAAATTCAACGTTTATTATTATTACCCAAGAGTGAACCCTTGTGAGAAGACATCGTTTAAAGAAGAAGTAAATACATACAAAGTTTTATAGGCTACGAAGTATTCTCAGGCAGGTATAGGAAGAAGCCAACCACCCCAGCCAAGAGGAGACCACAAGGGCATTAAAGATATTTACTACTGACCAATCATCTCCATTTGTCTTTAGATCAGATATTCCCATGTGCTTGAAAAGGAAGTTCTTTGATCAATGTGTACTCCCAGTTCTAAAGTATGGAGCAGAAACATTGACCCTTACCAGAAAAGTAATCAATAAAATACAAGTAGCACAGAGTGTGATGGAGAGGTCAATGTTAAATATATCACTCAGAGACAGAGTATCAAATACAATAATTAGGAGAAAAACTGGTATTACTGATGCAGTTCAAAGGATTACAACATTGAAATGGAACTGGGCGGGGCATGCTGCCAGATTAAAAGATGGAAGCTCAACGAAAAAAATTCTGGAATGAAGACCTAGACATGATGCTTATCATAATCGAGGACGTCCTCCAACAAGGTGGTCAGATGACATCGAGTGCATTCAGCACAACTGGATTCAGGGTACTCAAGATAAAATGCATTGGAATTATTTACGGGAAGCCTATGTCCAGCAATGAACTCAAAACGGCTGATGATGATGATAAATTTTCTCCAAGGATGTCACGAAACAAGTGAGATCATGCCTGATCTGTGCCACCACAAAGGCCACAGCCAGATAGTCAAAAGCACCCATTATCCCCAGAGACCAGTTAATCCCTAGGAAAGAATATCTTTTGATGTTCTCGGACCATATCCAGCAGTAAGAGGCAGCAAAAATGGGTACAAACTTAAATCCACCGACTGCGTTAGCAATCCTCTAAATAAAGATGTTCCATAGCTGCCAAAAGCCGAGATGTCATCCTCTTCCTGCAAGAAGAAATCTGCAACCGATATGGTAGACCGTCCATCATCATCACAGATAATATAATTCAATTCTGGACGGATGCTTTGAAGCGATTAATCAGAAAGCACAATATTCAGAGCGAACGAAGCCCAATCTATCATCAATGAGCCAATCCAATAGACGAGTCCAAAAGCTAAAAAAAAGGTCTCCAAGCACGAGTGTAACCCCTTGAAAATTCCAGATGGGAATCCTACCTATCTGATATTATTGTCAGCCTCTGTACCCGCCAAAACTAAGCCACAGGCGAGATGCCGGCGGAACTTTTACTTGGTTACCGACCAAGAAGATATCAGGAAACTGAGCACCAGGTCAGACGAGAAGAGATATGCCAGCAGAGAGTCGAACAAGCTGTTCAGCGAGCAACTCTACGACAGAAATCTTTGCCAGACGCATATAACTAGAAAGAGCATCAATAACTGAAATAAACGGTATGGCCTGATTGTCACATTTCTATGTCAAACTAGAATATATTCGTTTTAACTCTTAGACCGTGGACAGTCACGGAATCACATAGACGATGCATAGACGCTTTAAAATGACGTGGAACACAAATGTCTCGGTTTTATATGAAATTACACAAAAGCAACGTCTCTCTCTCTCTAGTACTATTTACTCTAGAATTTTAAAGTTTTTGGTCATGTCCATCGAAGCGATCACAAGCGGTTGGTGGTCCAAGGAAGACCTCAAAGTCAACACCAACGCGGCAGATGTCCACAGCGATGGGCAGACATTACTAAAAAGCTTCTTAATAAACAGTAGATATACTGAAGAAGTACATGTAACAAATATCCGCAACCAGTGGACCAATATCATTAATCAAACTATCCAAGCTGCTAAAGCTCAAGAATGAACCAAAAAACATCTAAGATAATATTGAATATAATGATGATCATAGTTTTAAATTCACATTCTTTAAAACTTTATTTGATTTACTTACTCCCATATCAGTAGGCTTCTCCTTGACCATACCAGCTTGACCTCCAACGACCGGCTGAGCCCCAATTGGTACTCCGTATAATCTGTGTGTAGGTGAATAGGCTACCGGCTGGTCATACGGTATATGGTTTGCCGAATTATTCATGTAAGTCTTAATGGGACTTGCGTGCTGCGCATAATTCGGATACTGCCTGACTGGCGGAGGTTGGTACGCCGGCTGGTTGGCGTACATGGGACTAATAGCTTGGTACTGCATAGCTGAAGGGTAGGTCATTTGGTGCGAAGGGCTCTGGGTTACGTAGTTGGGGTTATTGTAGGTCACTTGGCGGTACTGAGGCTGCACTCCGTATGATTGATGGATGACACTTGGAGGAATCTAAAAACAAAAGTATGCATGTGTTTTGATTATACAGTGCGTAAACTATAGACACCCTTATATGATATAGTAATAAAATTTCGGTTATGTGTATTACATGAAACAGCTATTTAAAATTTTATATTTTTGAAGTTGCCAAATGTACAGTTTCTAAAATTTACCTGTATATTTTACAATCTCTTGTCCCAATTTTTGTTGATATAATCTAATTAATCAATATTGACCATTAACATTTGGTAATTAATATTGCTGTATAAACAGAAAATACTTAAAAAAATTGAAGAAGGTATTAGATATGACCACCATGTCTTTGAAAACAGAAATCATTTCAGAACAGAGAAATTAGTCCTATATCTTCTGTAATTCTGTCTTTCAGTTTTTGAATGGTCTGTAGCGTATTTATATACACATTGTCTTTTAATTTATCCCATAAAAATATAATCTGGAGGTGTCAAATCAGGGGATCTTGCTGGACATTCTATATCTCCACTTCTTCCAATTTAACGATTTAGAAATGTAACGCCTCGAAGATAATCAGGAGGTGCCTCATCTTGCTAAAACCACATTGTGCTATTAACGAGATAAGGTTTTATATCATTAGGGAATATTTCTGGAATTAACTCCAATTCTAAAAAATCTCAGTATGCTTTACTTGTTTTGGTCTAGTTCTAAAAAATAAGATCTAACAATAGTATTACTAATCATTCCTGCCAAGACATTGATCTTTTTCTATGCAACAATGCATATTTTCATCTGACTAGTACCTGCAGTTTTGTTGATTGACCGTGCCATTTAAGTGGAAAGTAACCTCATCAGAAAAAAGGATTTAGGGAAAAAATTATAATTAGTATTAAATATATTTAACATTGTGTCACACAACTTCATTCGGCAATCTGGATTGTCTTTATTCAGTTTCTGTATCAATAACTGAATTTTATAGGAATGTGTAAACACTTGAAACAAAGAAACCTTGAAATATTTTTTATTCAGACACAAAAAAGTTTTTAATTATCTTAAATAAAAATAAGCGTATTTTCATAGTCATCTTTCCATTGTTATAAAGCGTTATCCAAAACATATTATTCTGAAAAATCATAATATACTTTCCTTCACTTATTAATCCCAGCGATATTTTAGTACGCCATAACCATTTAACCTCAGCTTCGGGCATATCTTGATATAGTCTCTCTGGATAATACTCTGGATTCAGAGGAATACATAAGATGCCGATTTAGAAGCGGAGCTTGAGTGCCTTTGACATTCTCGTAAAGGTGCAGGTCAGTGACGTAGCAAATATTTTTTGTTAAATATATTTCTCATATCTTTAATGAAAAAAAAATACTTTTTCATCGTAGATCAATTATAGGATATAAGATAAAATCAACAAAGATAATAAGACAGAAGAAGATATAAGATCATCAGATTGCTAAAATATATTTGATATACAGGCCTTCAGGGAACATAAAAATTTGGGGTATTAACACTGTCCAATTTGACACCAACTTGATAGAAATTGACTAAAAATTAAAAACATAATTTCTCAATATCAACGCAAATGTATGGATTATAAAAAAAAATGAAAATATATGGCGCAAGACAGCACTTTGCAACCAAGTGGTTTACTTACGCTACAATGAGTTTAAGCATGATATAAATAAACCCTTTTTTCAAGGACTTCAGTATTAACCAGCCACAACTAAGAATAAAAAATCTTCTGCTCTAAACATGCTGGTTGGTTCTTGAAGAATAACTGTGTGTTGACGTACTCCTGAGAACCAGGACCGAAAACTAAAATGAAGCCTTCTTCAATGGTCTGTGTCGTTTTAACTGACAAGTACTACGTGTTAAAAATGAAGCAGGGAGACATGTAGTCCCCAAAGTAATAAAATTTTATCCATTGTCATCGACCTAGAGTCACAACATAATTAAACTTTAAAATTTGGAATGATGTAAACCCATATATGGAGGTCACAGCTACAACGTTATTGTTAGCTTCAACTACATAAGGCACTGAGGATGATCTGTACAGATCGAAAACGTTATCCTGCTACCTAAATTTTGACAACACTTTTTTAAAAAGTTTTAACTATGTGTTTTTATACAATAATACAAGTGTGAAACTGTGAACTGTTTTATCTTCTGTATGTTTTTTTAAACGATCGTATACAGCCAACTACTGGGATTTTCCCATTAATTTTTATTTTTAGTGGACTATGTTTTTGTTAAACGCCCATGTTTCAGTTCCATATGTCAGAACTTGAAATTTTACAGCATTTCGTTTTTGTTTCTTTACCTCTTCTTTTGTATAGTATTCTTTGAATATTATATCACATCAAATAATACTTACATATTAAAGTAGTTGTCTTATATTTAATGTGTAAGTCTTATATCTCTTTTACAAAAGATTTGTTAAAAATTCCCGAATTTTGACCAATTACAAAAAAAATAAAACAGAAAAAAAATTGCTAAAAAAATTATTTATATAATTCTTAAATCAATAAACAATAAACTCTTCTGTACGTCTATGGCACAAGATGACGGATTCTGTATTTTCCAGCAATATCAAAGTACCCAGTATTTCGTATTCGAATCCAAGATTGCTAAATCCAGTCATCCGAAAATACCTTTAAGGGTCTAAGGGACATATTTTTCGTGGAGCCGGGATTAACTGATGAGAAATGTTTTTGAAGACTTAAATCCCTTTATACTTTTCGTACAAAAAATATTTTCAATATTGATTTGTTTCGTAGACAGGATTTGTGACGTATACAAGATGAAATAATGACGTCAGGATATTTCGATAAACAACTTCCTTATTATGTTTAAAATAGCTTTCCACGAAATTTACAAATTCTCGAAATTTAAATACAGCAACAAAATAAAATACATTATTAAAAATTATATGATGAAAATATAATTAGTGTAACGAGAGGAGATGTGATATACTTCATGTAAAGGCAGGATTGGATCAGGGCTAAGTGTCAAGTTCATAGACCATGTTTATTAAATCAACTGGCGCGGCGTCGTGATTTATTCTGCCGTTACCTGCGTCCGCAGTCTGTCGTATTCTTTTTTTAGTTTTTGTGATATTATTAAAGACATAATTTATTATTTCGTTATAATTTGTAATTATTTAAGTTGGAATAAAACCATGTAAGCACATTTCTACTTATTTTTCAATAATAATGACAAATGCAAAAAAATGTAACATAACTTATTTTTCAAGGTTTTCTGATAGCAAAACACAATTTGTTACAAAAGAAATATAAAAAATAAAATCACTATTTCTTTCTTGATTTTTTTGTTTTATATAAAGAACAGTAAACTAAAATATATAAACTCTCTAATTAAAATATATTATTATCAACAAAACTGCGAACTATTTACAAGTAACAGTTTTCTAAATGCAATTCTTGCAAACATATTATGCTACGAGGACATCGACTTCATAGAAAAAATCGAAAGACAAAGAGAAATGCCCGAAAATCCAAACTTAATCATCTCTCCTACATCACCGAAAGAGATAAATTAATGATCTAATCAAAAACAGCTCGCCGAAACAGCACCTGGTCCCGATCAAATAACGAACAGGGCTCCAAAATACTTACCAGCGCGAGCCATAGTATATCTAACAAATATAATCAAGGCGATGCTAACATTCAAGAAATTCCCAAACAGATGGAAAGAGACCCACGTCATAATGTTATCAAAGCCCGGAAAAGATAGCACATAACCGCAAAACTTCAGGCCAATAAGCTTACTAGACTTTAGACTTACTACTCAGCAGAATCCAAGCCGAAACAGACAGATTAGATATAATACCCGAAGCCCAATTCGGTTTTAGATCAGAACACTCCAGCGAGCTACAAGTACTAAGATTAACAGAGTACATAGCAGCTTAATTTAATGATAAACATTTTACAGGAACTGCCTTCATAGATGTAAGAAAAGCTTCTGACAGAGTCTGGCATGAAGGACTGATCTACAAAATAAGAAGATACGGGTACAGCGGAGCAATGACAAAGCTGATCTCTTCGTACTTAAGCAATCGTAGTTTCAGGACAAGTCCTAACCGAACTCGGGAACCCGGAAGCTAGGGTATCACAGGGAGCAGTACTGTCACCTCTATTGTACACGATATATACAGCAGATATACCTAGAACATCAGGTACATTACTAAGGCTCTATGCCGACGACACAGCGATAGCGGCCAAACACAGAAATGTAGACATAGCGGTAAACAACTTACAAACACCGCTAGACAACATAGAAGAATGGAGTTTAAAATGGAAAATCGCAATAAACTCCGAAAAGACATAGGCTGTACTTTTCAAAAAGAGGCACCCAGAACCAGGAGAACAGATAACTGTACAAGCAAAATACCTCGGAGTAATCATGGACAAAGGCTTAACGTTTAGCATACACGAGAAGCTACAGTATAAAAGCCAAAGTTGACATAAGCATCAATAAGAGGCCTAGCAGGAAGAAAAAGCAAACTCAGACTGAAAACAAAAATAAGATTAATAAATAGTATAATTCTTCCTATACTAACATATGCATCTCTCGCAGGGGGACACATATGCAACACATAAAAAAAGAAAATACAAGCGGCACATAACAACAGCCAAGAGAAGCAGTCAACGTACCGAGATACGTAGCAAAAAGATTCCTCTTTAGAGAATTATAACAAATCAGAGTGAATGACGCAATGAAAGAAAAATACACCTCTTTCGTTTCTGGTTCTGATTATTTAATTCTTCCCTCTCTGCTTCAGATAAAACTTTCTTCAGTATTCTACTAATACCCATGCGAAGCTCCCTAGGTAATCGAAAATTGTACAGTCTTATATTGAGATACGGTTCTCCAAGTTGTCTTGGAAGAATTTTGTAAAAAGCTTTTCTTTCTATGGCTTAGTTGTTTTTATAACATTCATATAAAATGTGTATATTGACACCTGCAATATTCAATATTTAAAAAGAAAATAGTCATTGACCATCGTCTAGTTCGTCGGTTAGTATAATAAGTGGTACATTTTTGATCTAGTGCATCGAAACCACCTTTTGTTTGATTATAGAAGCAAATGATTTTGGATTTAACAGATTCTATTTCTTCACATTCGGTATGGTGCATTGATGATATCAACACAACTGCCTTCCCTTTTTTTGAACGTAGAAAATTATAGTGTAGTCATTTGTAAAAGTATAAATGAAAGATTTTTCAGCTCTGCTCCGACTTGGAAAGAACTGCATAGATATTTCCTTTTAATTTCGCTTAAGCGTGCCTACATAGGTCAGTCCTGTTTTTTTATGCATCCATGACTTCTATGGATGAAAACCAATTGTCTGCTGTGATATTTCGATGTGAATTAGCAATTGGACGACACAGTCTCAACACCGCTTGTGTTGGTTTCATGAAACATCTCTCCTCATTTTTTAGAGAAAAACCATTACTATCCTTACCACGCTGAATATAACCATTATAGAAATACTAAGTATTTGCGTCTGTTAGGGCCATAATTTTCAGTCCATATTTCCGAGGTTTATTAGGTATGTACATGCGGAACCTACGTCTACCGAGAAATCAGCATTTCGTCAATATAACACAATTCTCCCATAAAATAACAGTCTTGGCAATTTTTTACAAACGCTCAAATGATCAAGACACTGCTGAAGTTCAATCATTAGTTTTACGTTCTTCTCAATCATTTGCATTATCAAACCTAAAAAAAGCAATAAAATATTTACACTAACTGTACAATCAACAAATCTTAGACATCTGTTCCAAATATTTCTTGCAAGTCTTCATCATTTGACTTGACTCTGAAAACTGCAGAGTAATACAAGATTGCGAGAAACGCTCTAAATTTTTCCTTTGTTAGTTCTCTCAGTTCTGTCCTATCAGAATTGCTAAATTTATCTTGAAATAACAATATCTTTTCATTTGTACGTAGAATTATTTCGTTTGTCATATTCTCTGTGAAAAGAAGGCTACATATTTTAAGGAATCATAGACATTACCACATTTTGCAGGTCCTTTCAACCCCGGAAGAACTTTTACCAGATTGTGTTTTTTGTTCTAATATTCATTAATGTTCTGGATTGGACAGAACAGCAGACCACTCGTATGGATGTTCACCAAAATAAAACTTTCCATTTGTTGTTTCTGTCACCTCTTCTTCTTAACCTACAGCCTGATTGATCTTCCATCTCAGAATCATCAGAAGAGTTATGATCACTTTCTGGAGGAAAATCTTGTTCGTTGTAGTCCTCTTAATCACTAAACTCGCTTTCTAAATAATCTAATAGGCTCAGTATTTCTTCCCAACAATTTAAATCGTGATAATTATAGTCGGTTCGCTATATTTACGCGGGTTCCGGATTAAAAATTTTATTGTAAGTACCCAGTTTTAATTACCTGCTCTTTGGGGAAATATCAACTGGTCAAATGATATGAAAAATAATCCATAACTTTTTTTAATTAAATAATAATGGAAAATCTTTTATATAAATGACAGTATAATAAGGAGAATTACTTCATTAATGGAGTCTAATGTGGCTAATATAAACCTAATAATAATTTTATATTACACTTCACACAGAAAATATGGTCTATGTATATTTGTTCCATGGAGAGAATTTCTAATGAAAAATAAAAAAATTTAACTTGCCAACAAAAATGAAAATCAGTCATTATCATCAAAAATATCATAATCGTCATCATCATCACTGTCATCACCATTAATTGTTATTATGATTGGACTTATTTCATTTATTTTATTTTCACGAGTCCAATAATCTTCTATTAGTTTCTCGCACTTGAATATACAGTTGAACCACACTTCTGGAGTTACGATTGAAAGTGCCTTTCGTCAAGTTTCCCGAACTGCGTCGTCGCTATAACCGTTAGGCCCAATATGGTTGTCATAATATTGTTTTGCTATTCCCCATATATATTCGATGGGATTAAACTGCCAATGATACGGTGGCAGACGTAAAACTTTATGACCGTAACTTTCAATAATCTGATCCACAACAAAGGTTTTTGGTTTTGCGTGGATATTTGCCAAGCGTAATAATTCTGATTTTAAAATATGTTGTGTAAATGGTATATGTTCCTTTGTCAACCATTCTTTAATTTTATTAACAGTCCAAGAATTCGTTGAACTTTTGTTTAATACTTCAGAATGGTAAGGTGCGTTGTCTAAAATAATTATTCTGGGCTCACTTAAAACTGGGAGAAGTTTTTCATGTAAACATTTTACAAACATTTCTGTGTTCATATTATCGTGATAGTCACTTGATTTTGATTTAGATGAAAATATTAAATCAGCACCTTCTGTAAAACCCGATTTCCCTCCTGCATGTAAAATTATGTGTCGCTTCCCTTCTCCATCAGTATGTTGGATAGACTTTACGTTATCATCTTGCCATATTCTCTTGGTTGCACCCTAGAAAATATCCATGTTTCGTCTAAATATGTAAAATTTGCCCTTTCTTCTTTAATTTAGAATATTTTCTTAGAAAGTTAATTCTTTTATGCACAACAGAACTTCTTTCACAAAGGGCTTTTCTGTTATCCTCCTTTTGAAATTTGAAACCCAAATTATGTATCACTTGCCATAGACTTGTTCTGCCAATTTCGTCAAATTTTCTATCTTTTAATTTCGAGAGAATTGTATTTAAGGTCACATGTTCCTTATTGGCTCGCATTCGATAAATGGTATCACGAATTTCAAATTTTTTTCCATCTGGAATATCTTTCGTTTTCAATGATAGGCGAGTTTTTCGGTGATCTTCTTTCGGCCGTTTATTATTGCGATTTTGTAATACTCCTCTTAGTTTGGTTTCACTAATTCCTAGAGCATCACATACGCGTTTTTGAACAGATATTACCGATTTTAAAGGACCGCCATTTTCTTTTTCATCCGTAAAATACTGATGTACACTACAAATTAGACTATCTACATCTAACACACGTCTAGGCATTTTTAAATATTTTCCACCAAACATACAATGTCAACACTGGCAAAGGATCAATTCAACTGCAATATTGTAACAAATTTACACCTACCCTAATGTTATTTTAATGTATTTTAAAATATGACCAATAATGCAGTTTTTACCTAATTTTCTGGGAAGATGTTTATTGCAACTGGTTATCAATGAGTCATTAGCATAATTTTGTTAATCGCAAACCGCGTAAATATAGCGAACCGACTATATTGGCAGTTCTTGGCAAACGATTTACGTGATTTAATTTATGACATATCTTTTTGAAAGATCCTATAATATACATATTTAAGAAAATATTTACAATTGGTCTTATTATGGCACTGGCATTATTTGGTACCAGTACCTTAGAGAGTCATACCCTCGTGAAATTTTGGTTATAAGTGCGCTAAGCTTCAGTATTGGAGACAAAAATTGAAGAAGAATAACACATTTTTAATAAAATAACGATATAACATGAAAAATGTGAGATAAAATATTTTTATAACGTCCCAAACCTTTTCCCTTAATTGAGTATACTTGTATTTGTTGTCATTCTTAATAAGAATTTTTAAAAAAACAAACTGAGTAAAGCAAGTCAACAAAAACTTTTAGCGAAACACTTTTTACTAAAGTAATGTTTTCAGATGAATTTTGAAGCCTAATCTCGGCCGACGGCTTGACAGAAACGGAAGACAATTTCATGGCTTACCTGTGATACGTAAACTCTGTCGGGGGGCATTCTAGGCGGCATAGGCGGCATGGGCGGCATGGGAGGCAGGGGTACCTCTCTAGCCGCGGAATCTGCGGATCTCACTCCCACGACGCCTGGAGGGACGGGCGGCCTCTTCTTGGGGGTGGCTGGAAGGGATCGAGAGCCAGCGCTTGCAGTCTCCCAATCTTTCAGTAGGGCTTTCAGACGGGCCGTCTCCTGAGCCCTTTCAGACTCGCTTTCGGAGTTGTAGTCTGGACCCTAAGACAATTGAATATTTTAAATGGCTTTACCGTAAATTCCCAATCGACCATTTTTTCAACTTTGTTAACACGGGAAATCCATCATTCCACGTGAAAGTTGACATAAAGAAATATTTTGTTTCTAAATTAATAGTCAACTTGTTAAAATAGTAAAAAAGATAAATTACTAACATAAATAAATATTAGAACGTCTTTAAAGGAAGTATTTTACATGTTATTATAAGAATAGGTCAAGTTTACTTAAACTATAACTACGCTATTCATACAAGTTTCATATATTTGTGACAAAAAGGCTAGGTTAGGTTAGGTTAGGTTGGGTTAGGTTAGGTTAGGTTTTACACAATATTTTATTTACATTTACACATATATGTTGGCCTGTCCGTGTGTGTGCATGTAACCAGAGAGGTGTATTGCTCAGTTAAATCTGGGCATACACCCGGAGTGTTTGTAGAGAGGAAGGACTTCGAGCGTGCGTGGTTTATTCCAAAGTGTCGAGTGTTCCTTTTATAGTAAAGAGTTGCGATATGTACCCGTCAGGGGTACTGTACCTTATTGATACCTTGCAGATTATTTGATAGAGCGAGGAAATTCCTGCAAAGAGGTGGGTGGATAAGTCTGGGAGTTGTCAAAGAGATGTTATATCCCCACAGGATGGTTTAATTTGGCATTCTCTGGAGAATATGCAGATGGTGGATGTAGTTGGTAGCGAACCTGGCATTGGATCCTTTTTGACTCGAGTCCGGCACTGTTGTGTGGAGCCTTCAGCTCTGCAGTTCGGACATAAAGTCTTCCCACCAGTTTGAGCAAGCAAAAAAAGAGGTTAAATTAGTTAAAGTATACGAAAAATACTTGGAAAAACTTTTCCACGACCTTCGAACAATACAAGAACTCACCATTGAAGAAAAATCAGGTACCAAAATCCTATCAGAAGAAATAACTTCAGCCGTAAGACAAATGAAGCATGGAAAAGTACCGAGACTTGATATTCCAATTCTCTTATTCCTGTACAACTGCTGAATATATTAGTTGACCAAAAAACCAGGAGTAAAAGTTTGTGAAGACTATAGGACCATAAACCTAATGAGCCATCTGCTGAAGCTGTTTTAAAAGTCATCCACAAAAGAATTTACCGCAAATGCGAGGAACGAGTTGCGCCTAATCAGTATGGATAAGGCGTATGTCAACGCTGTTGGTACAAGGAAGTTTTATTTAGCGTGCAGGTATTGTTTTAGAAAGAGTAGACATGTTAGCTGTAATGTTTTTGTATGCTTGATTGACTACAAGTAGGCTATCTATAGAATCATTCATGGACAAATGCTGGTAGTGCTGAAGAGGACAGAGATTGACGGAAAAGATCTTAAAATAATACCTAACCTCTATTGAAATCAATCAGCGGTGCTCCAAATAGATGGAGAATATACAGATCAGCTCAAAATATTAAGGGAAGTAAGACAGGGGTGCATAATTCCACCACTGGTATTCAATCTGTACTCGGGGCACATTTTTGAAGAGGCTTTAAAAGATATTGATAAAGGCATCTCAATAAATGGAGTCAAGCTCAATAACCTGCGGTATGGAGATAATATATAATAGTGTTTTCCAATACCATAAAAGGGCAGCTAAACTTAATGAATAAAATAACGGAAACAAGTAGAACATATGGACTGGATATAAACACCATAAGTATGTAGGACGTCTGTAAAGAAAGTATTTCAGATGTTATTATATGAATAAGTCATCCTATAGTATAGGAGACTGGATATGATAATGGCCGATCCAACTTTATTACCCGTTCTTCTAAACAGTTCACTTAAACTACAACTACGCTATTGATGCAAGTTCCATATATTTGTGGCAAAAAAGTTACTTAGTGCCATCTCCTCTTTCGCAACACACACACATACACACCCATACACACACATGCAAGTTTCATAGCCATAGGATTTGGTTTGGTCTACACTCTAATTTTTCTTTATTTTGCCTTGCATAATACTTTTTAGCAGATTATTTTCCTTGTCATGATATGTCCCAAGTATTAAAGTTTTTTTTATCGTTGTCAATACATCAAACTTGATCAATCTTTCAATCACCCCTTAATTTCTTATATTCTATCTTCATCTTCTTCCTTTTTGTATGTAGGCTTTATAGCCTGTTTCTTCTTCAATATTAGCCTCCTACATTGTTTAAATTATAGCACCATCTTTTTCTTGGTCTGCCAATACTTCTTCGTTCATTTAGTGACTTATCTCGTGCTATTTGTACTATCATACCCTCTCCCATACCAATCTACCATTGATCACATATCATCCATCAGACAAATATTAGAAAAAACGACGGAGTACGACATAGACTGCCACTACATCTTCGTAGACTTTAAGACAGCGTACGATACTATTGACAGGTCCCAATTATATTCGGCGATGATCGAATTAGGAATACCAAAAGGATTGGTAGAATTAATTAAAATGACAATGATGAAAGTCGAATGTAAAGTGCGCGTACAAGGGGATGTTTCAAAACCATTTAAAACCAACAGAGGACTGCGCCAGGGAGATGCGCTATCATGCACGCTGTTCAACCTAGCGTTAGAAAAAGTTATGAGAGATTCGGGAATAAACTTAAAAGGTACGATATATACCCGTCGTATACAAATAATGGCATACGCTGATGATATCGTCATAATTGGAAGAACCCAAAATGAAGCAGTGGGGCTTTCACACGTACCAAAAATGCCGCAGAAAACATCGGACTTCTGATTAACATCCAGAAAACTAAATATAGGCCGGCCATATCAAGAATTCAACAAAATAACTTAGAGGTGCAACACGAAACGATAGAAATGGTAGAAGAATTCTGCTACTTAGGCTTCTTCAGTTTGGCAGATGATTGTCTCAATAGGAACGTGACTAGGGGATACAGAGTAATTGAAACATTTTGCTAAAGCTTGAGTGGCAATGATCGAAATAGGGGTATCAGAAAAGTTGATTTCAAAGTTGTAGATTTTGGAATTTGTTTGGCAATTAGATGTGCTAATTTGCGCTTCTGAGTTTCGGTCTTAGATTCAAAAGTGTATAGCGACAAGCTAATTTCGAATAATTAAACTTTTGTATTCAAATATTAAATAAAACAATCTCAGCAATTTATTGTTTATACACATAATAGAAATGAAATAAAAATTGAAATATGTTCCTCAAAAACCAAAATATACATAATATAGCGACCAGCCCTATAATAAAAGTTAACGTCTGGCTTTTAAAATCAAATAACGCGTGTTCTGAGTTTAGTTTGAGTTTTCAGTAATCTTTGAGACACCATTTGGTCCGAGATACATATACAAAAAATACCGTCCCTTCGAGAATTAGTTACGTTTTACAAAATAAATATTATTAACAGTTTTTTCTACGTTTTATTCAATTTAAATATTATTTTTCTTTCCGTGGTAATAAATTTATCGCACACACATCCACACAATCACGAAATAAGTGTTTGTGGATGTCTGTGTGTTGAGATGGTGGAAACTATCCCGTAATATGAAATGTACATTGAAAGAATGAATTTATGACCAAATTAATATTAAAAATAATAAAATTTGCAACATCTGGTTTTCGTCTAGTGGAATAAAAGCTTTGCAGAGAAGCGCCAAAACTAATTTTGTGCTTTGATCTAAGAATTTGGGAGACAAAAGAAAAAAAGTATGGTCTTTTAGAAATTTGAGAATGACTTTATGGTCTCTGCAGGCTTTACGGAATGATAAATTACAAATAAGATGATTCTTACTTAGCAGCGGATTGCTGTATAATTTGCTGAGTTGATAAAAGTCCTCCCCATAAAGGCGAATAAAATGTTCCAATATTTCCGCGGTTAGTACAATTTTTGTTTCGATTTTTCAAATTTGGCACATGGAGATCCAAGGCTTAGCGATCACTAGTATATACCACAAACTTTTCTGGCAATCCCTTTCTACAGAAAAAAATGCGCATGCTGGTGTTATCGTCTTATATATAAATAGGTGCTTCTGGCTTTTAAAATATTCCAGCAAGTCATTTACATACAAAAGAAAGAGTAGCAGAACCCTTATTCCTTTTTGAGGACTTCCTAGTTTAATGTGAAAAATATCAGACGATATAGTATTTATCGCACAATAAAATGGACGATCTGAAACGTATGAAAGTATCCATGAATTTACTATAACTGTGATACCACCAGCTTTCAGGTTTTCGGGAGCATAGAAATTCTGGTGTTAAACAGTCGAAAGCCCAGTAAAAATCAAAGAACAGACCATATGTATATAAATGTTTGTCAATTACTAATATACAAAATATGACAATTTTGCTGTCTTAAATCTATACGATCTATCTATATAATCAAACGTCTTTATGCTGTGTATTATCCGACAAGCGAGAGCTGGCGGGTGACCTGCGCGAAAATAGAAAAGGAAATATTCTAATTCTAAGAGAGATAGGAGAGGTACTTAACCGCGGGTGTCACAAATGCGTAGTTGCCGTATCAAAAATTTAGTTGGGATGTGAAAATTACGTTAATAGATATGTTCCGTGGTTGTGTGGATGTATTTGTATTTGTTTATTTTTCTAAGCCAGACGGTAAACTCAAGTATTTTCGGCCTTTTATCTTGCAATGTTGTTGCTTACAATATCATATTTGTTTCTCATTTATGAAAAATGCAATGTATTTAAATGCATAATTAAAGTATCCAGCTTATCTGTAGTAAATAAACATATTGAGGAAACATATTTCAATTTTTATGTCATTTCTATTTCACATGTGTAGAACCAATTGCGATAATGTAAATTTTAACATGAAGAACTGTTATTTAATTTTTGAAATAATTAGCTTGTCGCTACAGATATACGTTGTATTATCAATAATAGTGAACTGTAAAGTACTAATTAACTGATCCATTATTTACTTATTATTTACTGGTATTTTTTTGTTCTGTAAATTTTTATTTATTTATTGATTATAATTTTATTGATTTAA